GATTCGTGAAGACCATACCTATCGACTCTAACATCACTTTTTTTAATTTTTGTCTGGTTCGTTTTTTATATGGGGAAGAATGAGGGGGGAGGGGTGAAAAATGTAAAAATGGGGAAAAACGTCATAAAAAACTAGGTGGAAAATGAAAAAAGTGATATTAGAGTCGATAGATATGGTCTTTACGAATCGAATGATACGTGCCTCGATGTTGTAGGATGATATTTGTGGGAGGAGATAGATTTTCTGAAGTAACCCTTTTTAGCCGTTTTCTATGAATTTCACGTTTTCTATCAATTTTTTCGAAAAATACATAGGAGCAAAATGTTTTTCTTTTTACCTTTTACGTATGTATGTGAAGTTTCATGATAATCGGATAATAACTGTAGAAGTTTTTCGGGAGGGTAACCGGTCCCCTTAAAAGGCAAGCCTTATGAAGATAGATTGAAGATTATGAAGCTTCCAAGCCTCTGTTATCGACGTCTGCGTGATGACCTCATTGAAGTATACAAGTATACTCATGGTTTGTTCAAGGTCCCAGAAGGTGTCCTACAATTTGAAACAAGAATCAACACCAAGGGCCACGGCTATAAACTAAAAAAACTGCGTTGTAACACATCCATGTGACAATAATTCTTCTCGCTTCAAGTCACCGACATTTGGAACAGCCTCCCTGACAGCATCGTTGGCGCTCCGAGCAAGAACGTCTTCAAGGACCGACTAGACGAAGCTATGCAGGAGCATACATATGTTCAGTCTTGAAATGTCCACCATCTTACGGATCAGCATTAAGTCCAGCAGCTATCTCAAACAATCGTCAGTTATGGAAAGATCGGGTTCAGAAGGCAACAGGCCATGAATCGGCAACAGGCCATGGGCCTATTTCTTCAGTGCCAACAATTCTATTCTATTCTACAAGAAAATGAATTGGCGAGCTATCGGCTCTCCCTGACCGGTCCGACACTTCAGCGAACTCGCGTGCGAACTCGCCTGCGAGCTCGAATGGAAAACCTAACTTAATTTTCAACTCTGGCACGCATAACTCCGTCAATAATGGACGGATTTTCTTCAAATTTGAAATATAAGTAGATAATATCAGTACGCTGCGGAGG